GATTAAGATTATTTTTTGTGCCTGTATTTTGGCTAATTTTTTCTTTGGGAGTATTATGAAAACCTATCAGCATATCCACACCTTCTTCTACACCCTATTTCTCTGCACATTCCTCTCGAAAACTTAAATGCTTTATGCTCCACTGTAGCCTTTTGTAGTTTTCTCTGCTTTCACTTGGTTCCATTTTAAGTTTTTATTTTTTATTTCTTATTTTTTATTTTTTATTTTTATTTTTTTAAATCTTTATTGTAAATTTGTTATTTTAAATCCTTAATTTTAGGATTAGTTATGGTTTATTTTTATACCTTATAATGAATTGAGATGTGGACAATGAATGTGTTTCTTCCTTCATAGTTGTGCTTAAAATAATATTTCTCTTGATATCTTTTCTTTCATATATAGGTGACATGAAGAAGAAACAGGGAAGGAAATCTCATATGTAATGGGTATTTTATGTTGGAGGTTAGGTTTATTTTATGATTTTTTATGTTAGATTTCATACTGAATCAATTTGAAAGGTTCCCCTGAAGACTATATGAATTTCTTTTAAGTTTTTATGGTTATAAGTTATAACACATTAAATTTATTTTTCTTATCAGTTCTTTCAACTTTATTTTGCTAATTCAGTGAGAGGAGTTGTCAAAGATGGCATCAAAGCTTAGCAAATCTATGCTTGATGGGGCTGAAATTACGATTTGATCAGTGATAGGACTTTTGGTTAAATCCCAAGCAGGAAATGCATTCTTTGCCATAGTTCCCGGACAGGTCCTCTTGGCTTCCCTTGATGCTATCAGTAAGTTAATTAGGGTTCTATAACCTATAGGTGTTTATAGGTTATTTCTGCTTTTATAGCTTACTTCTCTATTAGATCAACATAGCCTATAAATGGCAATACATGTATCAGTTTTGACCTTAGGTGTCTATAGATCATCTATTCTTTTGTACAACAAACTTGCACATGGTTTGATTTTGTTATGGGTATTTGGTTTGATTCTATTAAAGTCTGGGTCTTTTGGTTTCATTGTGGCAATGACAGGTTATACTTTTGTCTGCCACATTTGTAGAATGCTTGGCGTATTAAAATTGTGGTTTGTGCAGTTGATTTTTTGGCCTTAATTCTGTAATAATAGCCATTGTCTTCACTAAATTTTCCTATTTGTCTACACCAACACCTCTACCAGTTTCCAAATTTGTAGCAACAGATTAAACACCCATTGATTTGATGCTATTAAAGCTCGAGTGTTTTGGCTTAATTCTCTCATACCTATTTAATAAATTGTCACAATTGTTCTAAGTTTGTTATCAATTGATTAAATAGACTGCAGTTATGCTTTTGTCCATCATATTAATAGAATGGTTGATGTACCTAAACTGTTGTTTGTCCTGTTGGATTTTGTAACTTAATTTTGTGATATGGTAGTTGGTCTTCGCTTAAATTTTTCCATTTATCTACACTAACACCTGCCATTTTCCAAATTTGTACCAACAGAGTTAAAACCCCTGCAAAGGACAAGAAAGAACAGAAGCCACCTCTGTAGCAAAGCCATCAAGAGAAAGATCCCCTTCCAACATACATCAAGGCAGAAAATCCCCTTCCACCACCCAGTAGCATATATATGTAAAGACCTGTCCAAACTCTTTTGAACAATGAACATCTTAAAACTGCTGATATTTTGATGCTATTATGATGTTTTAATTGCTGCTTGGTTTATTAAAATATGGTCAATATTTTAACATGACAAGCAGCATATAAAACGTGTTATTAGTCTATTTTTTGTAACATAAACTTGCCAAATAAGGCATGATGCCACTATTTAGATCTCCATGTCTATATAAATAGTACCATCTTTCATATATTTTTTCATGATTTTGTATACATTTCACACGGTTTTAAAACCCGCAGCATCGCGCGGGTACCTTTGCTAGTGGTACACTAATTGTTTCTGAAAATGGTGAAGCTTTGTTTTATCTAATTATTTATTTTTAACAATTACGCTTTCATTCGGATGATTTGTTCCTTAAGAAAGTAGAGTTTTCACCTCCTAGCCTCTTCTCATATCTTTTGGCTTCTTTTCAGGGTTTATGGTTTGATGGAGATTCTTCCCTTATGGATGATGCCATGCATGAATGTGGAACTTGCTAACTCGCTAAGCAAAAGAGGAATATTCAGCGTACAGCTACTATTCCCCAAGGCAACTTTGCAGACCATGATTGGAAATTTTCCTGCTTAAAAAATGTATCTGGTACAGACTTCTAAGATAGTGGAAACATGGCTGACTAACCCACAGGTCAAGATTTAACATGACTGGACAACTTTTTGAGTGGGCTGGGTATATTGAAATACAAGTCAGTTATTTGCTTTCAGGCGTGTTAACTAATTTCAGTAGCTTTGCATCTAGAATATTTTGTTCTTCTAGGATCTGCAGCCTTTTCCACGCATCGAAGTGAAATTAAAACTTCAGCGAAAAGTCTTGCTCTTTAGACATCACACTGGTGAACACTAATTTCAGGAAAAACAAATCAAGAGCGTTATTACTAGAGGGAGCAATAGAGATTTTAGCCTGTAAAAGTAGTATGTAATTGTTAGGAATCTGGTTTGGCCTAAGTTGGATGAGTAGTTGGAAATCCTGACTGAATCAGACTTGGGGAATATACAGACATAGAAACACATAGTCGGGCTTTGCTTGTTGTCATAGACTATGAAGCCGCAATTCACCTCTGGAAGGTTGACAAGTTTGACTTTGTTGTCTGCATGAGTGCCTATATCGACGTCGTTTTTGCAGCGTTGAAATTGGACTAGTCTTAGCGGTACGTATCATTATTGTGTGTGACAGTAACACTATATCTAACAACTTAAAACTACGCATTAGAACTAATATTTCTTTTTACTTCTGTGTAGGTTGCAATTTTGTGATCAGGGTACTTTTGTTTGTGGCAAGGCCAAGGACTTTTGTTCAAGGAAACCTTCCGAATTCCATGGTTTACAGAAATGTTGAGCAGTATCCCAATGCAAAGCAATGTTCCTGGAATTCTGAAATTCTCATACTTGAGATTGATGCTCCCATTTACTTTGCAAATAACAACTACTTAAGAGAAAAGTACTAATTAATTAAACCAGAGTAAGAACTAAAGATTTGGGGCTTAAGAAAGATAATAGCAAGTACAGGGACTAAGGTTTTTTGAGTTGTTCTTGAGGTGGTTGTACTATCTTTTTGTTTTCTGGTCATGTTTGTGTTCTAGTGAGCCAGAACTAAAGATTTGGGGCTTAAGATAGATAAGTGGCTTATCTATGGGACTGGGAAAGAGACATCCCATTTTGTTTGAGAAGGTTTGAATCAGACATTTAATTTTTATGATGATTGCACAAATTTTCATCTACAAATTGATTGAATAACTAGTGTAGTGCTTCAAGTTACCAGTCGCTTCTAACCAAGGTGCTTTCTGATAGTGCCACCATACTCATTAAACATAGAGACCTCTGTGTGTCATCTGTTTGATTCTAATAATTTCCGAGTGTTAAGTTGGTTAGCGTTTGAGCCATAAATTACTGAAACAGTCTCATGATGAAAGAATTGATTGCGTTATCATGATTATTTGTGATCATAGAAACTGCTTTCTAGAAATCCTTTAATCTTCTCTGATGTATTTTGTTTCATTTGTAGGCACACTGGTTGGAGAGGACTTGATGAAGGCATCGTTGTAGTTGGGACTTGCATGATTTAAAAGCCACAATGGCTGGTTGCATGTCAACCCCATCCAAAACAATTAAACCATGGAAAGAACACTGTCAGCGGGTCATCAAACGCCATAGATAGGCAACCTGCTCCGCTTCAGATGGTACCAAGAAAAGAAATGCAAGTTTCAAGAAAATAAATAGTGATGCAGGAACTCGCTTGAGCTGTCAATGAGTTTGTTCACGTGGACTTTAAGAATGGTGCAACAACTACTCACAGAAGATCTAAGGTTTCTAATTCAACATTCCATCTCACCCAGCTGCAATGGCACCATAGTCAATATGATTCGAATGGTGTGTGCTTTCTTTCATCAGATTTCAACTATCTTTCAATTTCAACCAATAGTGCTGACAAGAAAATTCATAGCTCTTGAATCTCATATTTTGAAAGTTATTCATTTGCAGTAATTTTCCAAGAGGAAGCTTGGTTTGACTCGGTGAGTATTCTGGAGTCTGACTCGGATGATGACTTTATCAATATACATGGAGGTATTGGCCATCAGCCTGTAACTACATATTACAGAATGAAGGCCTTGTGGTCTTGTTTGATTGCAAAACGTCATTACTACTGAAGTAATTTTTCTTGAGCTACTTATTGGAAAAGGATTTTGTTTTGTTTTCTTAATTTTCTTCACTTATTCTACAGATGGTTTTCCATTAGCAAGCAATCCAGTTGGGAATATCTCAAGTGGCCAAGTACTTCAGCATGAAAGATTTGCTCGCTTTGTTGATAATGAGTGTAAGTATGAAGAATATGGAGGTAAATCAGATAAAATCACAGGCAAAGATGAGCGCAGGGAATCAAATCGGTTTTCGCTTATTAATACCCAGCGCTATGAGCTTTCTCACTTAGGGAAGGCAGATGAAGTTTGCAGTAAGAGGAAGAATATAGTAGATCACTCTTATGGAAGCTTTAAAGGACTTACAGAAGATGGACGTGATTCTAATGAAAAAATTCAAGACAATGCCCTGAAATCCGGCTTATCTCAATTATAAATCTCACTTATCCATTTAATCCTGCTGCAATGTTTCTTAGTGATAGTGATGGAGAGAGGAGGAGTCTTGTAATGATTTCAAGGTTTTTGAGAATTTTGATAAAAACATCTCTCCTCAATTCCAGGACAGCATCAAGGTAACTTTATTTGTATGCAACTTCATCCATTTGGAGAGGCACGTACTTTATTCTGATGTACTCTCCCTGATGGAAATGATCTTATGTTCTATTGGAACACGCAGTTGTTGTATATTTGAATGATGCTTTTAGAAAATGGTTGACGATGAGACGGAAAAAGTTAAAAGGATTCGCAAAGGACTCCACTGTACTTTTCAGAGAAAGACTAAAGATCTTGACTGGGGTGGTAAATCTGAAGATCTTGGTCGGAGTTCTACTGAGAAGAAGCTTGTACATGCATATAATGACAAACCAGTTCTTTCACGCCCCAGCACAATTTTTACAAGGTAAACATTGAACATTTGTGTGTTGCTGAGTGTTAAGAAGATGAAACATAAAACCATGTTGTTTGACTTTATCAAGCTCTCTCACACGCAGGGTCCTAACTACTTTGAGATTGATCTGGACATTCATCGCTTCAGCTACATATCAAGGAAGGGTCTCGAATTGTTGTGAGAATGTCTTTAAAAAAGGAATAGCCGAGCAGCTATTCTCGTAAAAATATTCTATTTATGGTGTGTAGTCACTCAAAAATATTCTTTTTATGGAGTATAGTCGCGTGGCCATACTTTTAAAATATTCTTTTTACGGAGTATAGCCGTGCGGCGATACTCTCTTTTAAAATAGAGAATTTATGGCGTATGGCCGGACGTTTATATCTCTTTTAAAATATTCTGTTTATGGCTTATAGAGTATAGCCAAGCGGCTATACTTTTAAAATATTATATTTTACCAATATAGCCACGTAGCTATACGCTTAAATATAACAATAAAAATATGGATTTCTATGTAGCAAAGCTGAGCCTTGAGGTAATGAATCAATTAGACATGGTCAATGGATGTATTATGTTCTAGCTTTGTTCCTCTGTGTGTGCTTAGGGTCGAGAGAAAATTTATACCTTGTTTGTGTGTTGTTGCATGTGTATGGAGAATGATATAAATGACGTTGCTTATCTTTTTTAGGTGCCCTTTGTCATATTTCCTAAAATGTTTCGAATATTTACACAGTATAGCAGAGATCTATATTCAAATAATAATATAATTTCTAATTGAAGTAATTAAAAAAGAAGATATTACTTAATGACATATATATATATGTATATATATATATATATGAAAATTAACAGAAGTTGGGAAAAAAAAATAAAAGTAAAGAAACAATTGTGTATTTTAAAAAAAAAAAAAATAGCAAGGCAAGACAAAGGTCTATGCGACAAACGGTGTGCCGTGATTAGACACACATAATGAGGAGGAGCGAAAGTGTCCTTATGCTGAAGAAATGTCGTCGGGCACGAGTCTAATCCGCAAAATGCACCGAGATAGACCTGTGCCAACGAAAGTTCGTAGGGAGAGGCTTTTTAAATAAATGACGTAAAGTTAGGTATCTGTAGAGGTCAAGCTCCAAACTTTTTTTTTTTTTTTTTTTTTTTTTTTTTTTTTTTTTTTTTTTTTTTTTTTTTTTTTTTTTTTTTTTTTTTTTTTTTTTTTTTTTTTTTTTTTTTTTTTTTTTTTTTTTTTTTTTTTTTTTTTTTTTTTTTTTTTTTTTTTTTTTTTTTTTTTTTTTTTTTTTTTTTTTTTTTTTTTTTTTTTTTTTTTTTTTTTTTTTTTTTTTTTTTTTTTTTTTTTTTTTTTTTTTTTTTTTTTTTTTTTTTTTTTTTTTTTTTTTTTTTTTTTTTTTTTTTTTTTTTTTTTTTTTTTTTTTTTTTTTTTTTTTTTTTTTTTTTTTTTTTTTTTTTTTTTTTTTTTTTTTTTTTTTTTTTTTTTTTTTTTTTTTTTTTTTTTTTTTTTCTTTTTTCCCCTATCTTTTGGCTTCTTTTCAGGGTTTATGGTTTGATGGAGATTCTTCCCTTATGGATGATGCCATGCATGAATGTTGAACTGTTGCTAACTCGCTAAGCAAAAGAGGAATATTCAGCGTACAGCTACTATTCCCCAAGGCAACTTTGCAGACCATGATTGGAAATTTTCCTGCTTAAAAAATGTATCTGGTACAGACTTCTAAGATAGTGGAAACATGGCTGACTAACCCACAGGTCAAGATTTAACATGACTGGACAACTTTTTGAGTGGGCTGGGTATATTGAAATACAAGTCAGTTATTTGCTTTCAGGCGTGTTAACTAATTTCAGTAGCTTTGCATCTAGAATATTTTGTTCTTCTAGGATCTGTAGCCTTTTCCACGCATCGAAGTGAAATTAAAACTTCAGCGAAAAGTCTCACTCTTTAGACATCACACTGGTGAACACTAATTTCAGGCAAAACAAATCAAGAGCGTTTACCCCGCTTTTCCCTAAGGTAAAAACTTCTTCTTGTTCTAAACTAGTAATGAGAAACCAAACTGAACTTCAGATTCTCTTTTACAGGTGAAAAACGAAGCATGGTGGTTGGTCCTTGCGAACACCTCAACATGGGAATTATATTCTCTCATAAGAGTATCTTTCTCTGATCACTTGGTTACTCACATGGAGTTACCATCAGTTCCTAAGACTCTCCAGGTACCATGTGGCCTTTTCTTGCTTTGCTTGCTAACATTTGTTTTACCGTGCTTTCCAGGGGATGAAATTGACTTCAATTTCAGATTGTCATCTACGGTTCGAGCAAGAGCACTCTATTTCACAACTTATTGAACTGCAGTAACCAAAGGAAGATATCTTATCAGTCGGATACATTGGACCTTAGGTGTATATATTCGAATATATTTACAAAGTATAACTGCCCGGCTATACTTTTAAATATATATCTCCTTCTAGATGTATTTGAGTGAGGTTGAGTAGTAGTTGTGAGTCGAGTCCCTTTCCTTCTCATACTCTAACCCTAGAAGAAAGGGGTTAAAAAGAGTAAATACCAAGAAGACTTTTTTTAGGACATGGACATTTAGATTCAAAACGCATTCAAGCAATTTTATACCTAGAAATTCAACATTCTTTGATCCACAAAATGTTGGTGGATCCCTTTTGTTGTTGTATTTATGGGTTAAACTCCTATTATTTCTTATAAATAAAATCCATTTTTTATTCTTGCCCAAAATAATTGAAGAAATAACTCCAGCCGAATGGGCTACAGTGGTATATTAGCCCCAAACCCTAAAATAATCTGAAAAGAAAAAACTGTATATTTAAAGAGTATAGCCAGCCGGCTATACTCTTAAAAAAATAAATCTAAAAAAGGCAAATCCGTGCGGCTATACTCTTTTTAAAAAAAAAGAAAAGAAAAAGAAAAAGAAAAAAGGGCTATATAAAAGAGTATAGCCGCGCTGCTATACTATTTAAAATTTAAAAATAATAAAAATCGCATAGCCGCGCGGATATACTCGTTAAAATTAAATTAAAAAAAGGATATAGCCTGTCGGCTATACTCTTTAAAAAATAAAAAAATAAAAACAATATAGCCGGGCGGCTATACTCGTTAAAAATAAAAAATAATAAAAAATAGTATAGCCGCTCGTCTATACGCCTTAAAAACAAAAATAAATAAATAATAGTATAGCCGGGCGGCTATACGCGTCAAAAATTAAATATAAAAAAGGGTATAACCGTTGGCTATACTCTGTAAAAATAAATAAAATAATTAAAAATAGTGGCTATACTCGTTAAAAATTAAATATAAATAGGGTATAGCCGTGAGTCTCAAGTATCAGTGGGAGCTGCCTTCGGGGTAGGCCAGTCCACAGTTTCTCAAGTGACTTGGAGATTCATTGAAGCATTGGAAGAACGTGAAAAGCACCATCTCAAGTGGCCTGATTCCAACAGAATGGAAGAAATAAAGTCCAAACTTGAAGAAGCCTTTGGATTTCCCAATTGTTGTGGAGCCATAGACGGTACACACATCATTATGACACTTCCTACCTTTCAAACATCAGGCGATTGTTGTGACCTGGAGGACAACTACAGCATGCTCTTTCTGCAGGGAATTGTTGACCATGAGATGAGGTTTCTTGGCATTGTAACTGGTTGGCCTGGGGGAATGACGGTGTCTAGACTTTTAATGTGTTCAGGATTTTTCAAGCTCTGTGAAGGTGGACAGCGTTTGAATGAAAATTTTAGAACTTTATCTGGAGGAGTAGAGATTAGAGAATACTTAGTTGGTGGGTTGGCTATCCTCTGCTTCCCTAGCTCATAACTCCTTATGAAAGCAGTGGCCTCCCAGCTTCCATTTCTGCTTTCAGTGCCGTGCATGGGGCTGCAAGGTCTCTTGCGGTAATGACATTCTCGCAGTTAAAGGGCACTTGGAGAATCCTTAACAAGGTCATGTGGAGATCCGATAAGCGGAAACTTCTGAGCATCATCTTGGTATGTTGTTTACTTCACGATATAAGAATTGACAGGAGATATATTACAACTTAGCGATGGCCTCTTCAGCTTCTTCCAGCTGCCCCTTCACGTTTTCAAATTCAATACCTTTGCCCTTTTTGCTCATTTCAGTAATCTCCACCTTCCTCTTCAGGTCTTCCACGGTTATTTGAAGGTTTGTCAACTTTTGTACATCAGAATCAAGTCTTTCTAGAATCCTTCTCTTGTTGCCTTCTTGATGGGGCTCTGTAAATCTCTTAGAGATCCCTAATTTGTCCACGCCCAATTCCTTCTCAACCAATGATTCTGAAGAGGAATATTTATTCTTGTGCTCCTTTACTGCTTCAGTCTGACTGTGGTGAGTTGCTATAGCGTCCACCTTCTAGCCCTTGCCAACCATCAAATCAATGCTGGCATCCTGGTCGGTGGTTTCCCACAACTCAAGCATCTGACCATCAGCCTCTATGGTGTCTCTTCTGCTTATCCCCAATGTAGATAGAAACCAGCTTACTTTCCATATGGCGTTTGCAACATGCTTCTCAAGTGCTGTTGTACACTCCTTCAAAGAGATGACAGATGGAATATAGGCAGCCAGCTGATCTTGTAGCCCTGATAAACGAAAATCAGGGGGAAAAAAAAAAAAAAAAAAAAGAAGAAGAAGAAGCCAGTATAGCCGGGCGGCGATACCTCTTAAATATATTATATTTAAAGAGTACCGCCGTTCGGCTATACCATTTAAATATTATAGCCGTGCGGCTATTCCATTTATTTATTTTTAAAAAAATGCCCAAAAATGGCGAGCTTTACATTTCCCTCCCTGCCTGGGTCGCTTCACTGAATCACTTCCCATCAAAGTCTTCAAGTTCAAGGCCGAAAAAGAGGTGGGCAATTTCTCATTTGACCTCTCATGGCACCTCCAAGAAATCAAAGAAAAGCAAGAAAGATAGGAAATTGAAGAAAAACTTAAGCTTGGTTCCAGTCGAGCCTAAAGCCGCAGACTCTGACTGGTGGGATAGTTTCTTCAACCCAAGGTTTTTCTTTTCACTAAGCTCAGTCTCCAATTACTTTGCTTCCTGCTTTTTAGTGGAATGCATTCAGATTATTTGTAGTTTTAACTAAATTATCTTTATATTTTGCTTATTTTGGAAAATCTATGATGCACAGAAATCTAGAACATGTGGTGGATTTTGTTCTGTAATGTTAAATTCGGTAATGATGTTCATAATTAGAGCTCAAAACCTATAAGCTTTTGTTCAGTTAGGCTGTTGGAAAAATCGGCCTAGGCGCTAGGCGGGTCTAGGCGGGATGTGGTCGAAAAGTTATTACTAGAGGGAGCAATAGAGATTTTAGCCTGTAAAAGTAGTATGTAATTGTTAGGAATCTGGTTTGGCCTAAGTTGGATGAGTAGTTGGAAATCCTGACTGAATCAGACTTGGGGAATATACAGACATACAAACACATAGTCGGGCTTTGCTTGTTGTCATAGACTATGAAGCCACAATTCACCTCTGGAAGGTTGACAAGTTTGACTTTGTTGTGAGTGCCTATATCGACGTCGTTTTTGCAGCGTTGAAATTGGACTAGTCTTAGCGGTACGTATCATTATTGTGTGTGACAGTAACACTATATCTAACAACTTAAAACTACGCATTAGAACTAATATTTCTTTTTACTTCTGTGTAGGTTGCAATTTTGTGATCAGGGTACTTTTGTTTGTGGCAAGGCCAAGGACTTTTGTTCAAGGAAACCTTCCGAATTCCATGGTTTACAGAAATGTTGAGCAGTATCCCAATGCAAAGGAATGTTCCTGGAATTCTAAAATTCTCATACTTGAGATTGATGCTCCCATTTACTTTGCAAATACCAACTACTTAAGAGAAGAGTAATAATTAATTAAACCAGAGTAAGAACTAAAGATTTGGGGCTTAAGAAAGATAATAGCAAGTACAGGGACTAAGGTTTTTTGAGTTGTTCTTGAGGTGGTTGTACTATCTTTTTGTTTTCTGGTCATGTTTGTGTTCTAGTGAGCCAGAACTAAAGATTTGGGGCTTAAGATAGATAAGTGGCTTATCTATGGGACTGGGAAAGAGACATCCCACTTTGTTTGAGAAGGTTTGAATCAGACATTTAATTTTTATGATGATTGCACAAATTTTCATCTACAAATTGATTGAATAACTAGTGTAGTGCTTCAAGTTACCAGTCGCTTCTAACCAAGGTGCTTTCTGATAGTGCCACCATACTCATTAAACATAGAGACCTCTGTGTGTCATCTGTTTGATTCTAATAATTTCCGAGTGTTAAGTTGGTTAGCGTTTGAGCCATAAATTACTGAAACAGTCTCATGATGAAAGAATTGATTGCGTTCTCATGATTATTTGTGATCATAGAAACTGCTTTCTAGAAATCCTTCAATCTTCTCTGATGTATTTTGTTTCATTTGTAGGCACACTGGTAGGAGAGGACTTGGTGAAGGCATCGTTGTAGTTGGGACTTGCATGATTTAAAAGCCACAATGGCTGGTTGCATGTCAACCCCATCCAAAACAATTAAACCATGGAAAGAACATTGTCAGCGGGTCATCAAACGCCATAGATAGGCAACCTGCTCTGCTTCAGATGGTACCAAGAAAAGAAATACAAGTTTCAAGAAAATAAATAGTGATGCAGGAACTCGCTTGAGCTGTCAATGAGTTTGTTCACGTGGACTTTAAGAATGGTGCAACAACTACTCACAGAAGATCTAAGGTTTCTAATTCAACATTCCATCTCACCCAGCTGCAATGGCACCATAGTCAATATGATTCGAATGGTGTGTGCTTTCTTTCATCAGATTTCAACTATCATTCAATTTCAACCAATAGTGCTGACAAGAAAATTCATAGCTCTTGAATCTCATATTTTGAAAGTTATTCATTTGCAGTAATTTTCCAAGAGGAAGCTTGGTTTGACTGGGTGAGTATTCTGGAGTCTGACTCGGATGATGACTTTATCAGTATACATGGAGGTATTGGCCATCATCCTGTAACTACATATTACAGAATGAAAGCCTTGTGGTCTTGTTTGATTGCAAAACGTCATTACTACTGAAGTAATTTTTCTTGAGCTACTTATTGGAAAAGGATTTTGTTTTGTTTTCTTAATTTTCTTCACTTATTCTACAGATGGTTTTCCATTAGCAAGCAATCCAGTTGGGAATATCTCAAGTGGCCAAGTACTTCAGCATGAAAGATCTGCTCGCTTTGTTGATAATGAGTGTAAGTATGAAGAATATGGAGGTAAATCAGATAAAATCACAGGCAAAGATGAGCGCAGGGAATCAAATCGGTTTTCGCTTATTAATACCCAGCGCTATGAGCTTTCTCACTTAGGGAAGGCTGATGAAGTTTGCAGTAAGAGGAAGAATATAGTAGATCACTCTTATGGAAGCTTTAAAGGACTTACAGAAGATGGATGTCATTCTAATGAAAAAATTCAAGACAATGCCCGGAAATCCGGCTTATCTCAATTTTATATCTTACTTATCCATTTAATCCTGCTGCAATGTTTCTTAGTGATAGTGATGGAGAGAGGATGAGTCTTGTAATGTATTTCAAGGTTTTTGAGAATTTTGATAAAAACATCTCTCCTCAATTCCAGGACAGCATCAAGGTAACTTTATTTTGTATGCAACTTCATCCATTTGGATAGGCATTTAATTTATTCTGATGTACTCTACCTGATGGAAATGATCTTATGTTCTATTGGAACACTTAGTCTGTTGGTATATTTGAATGATGCTTTTAGAAAATGGTTGACAATGAGACGGAAAAAGTTAAAGGATTCGCAAAGGACTCCACTTTACTTTTCAGAGAAAGACTAAAGATCTTGACTGGGGTGGTAAATCTTGAAGATCTTGGTCGGAGTTCTGCTGAGAAGAAGCTTGTACATGCATATAATGACAAACCAGTTCTTTCACGCCCCGGCACAATTTTTACAAGGTAAACATTGAACATTTGTGTTGCTGAGTGTTAAGAAGATGAAACATAAAAACCATGTTGTTTGACTTTATCAAGCTCTCTCACACGCAGGGTCCTAACTACTTTGAGATTGATCTGGACATTCATCGCTTCAGCTACATATCAAGTAAAGGTCTCGAATTGTTGTGAGAACGTCTTAAAAAAGGAATAGCCGAGCAGCTATACTCGTAAAATATTCTATTTATGGCGTGTAGTCACTCAAAAATATTCTTTTTATGGAGTATAGTCGCGCGGCCATACTTTTAAAATATTCTTTTTACGGAGTATAGCCGTGCGGCGATACTTTCTTTTAAAATAGAGAATTTATGGCGTATGGCGGATGGTTATACTCTCTTTTAAAATATTCTGTTTATGGCTTATAGAGTATAGCCAAGCGGCTATACTTTTAAAATATTCTATTTTACCAATATAGCCACGTAGCTATACGCTTTAAATATAACAATAAAAATATGGATTTCTCTATAGCAAAGCAGAGCCTGGAGGTAATGAAGCAATTAGACATGGTATGTATTTACGTTCTAGCTTTGTTCCTCTGTGTGTGCTTAGGCTTGAGAGAAAATTTATACCTTGTTTGTGTGTTGCATGTGTATGAGAAGTGATATAATGACGTTGCTCATCTTTTTAGGTGCCCTTTGTCATATTCCCTAAAAATATTCGAATATTTAAACAGTATAGCAGAGCATCTATATTCGAATAATAATATAATTACTAATTGAAGTAATTAAAAAAGGCAAAGATATTACTTAACGACATATATATATATATATGTATATATATATATATGAAATTAAAGAAGTTGGGTAAAAAATAAAAGTAAAGAAACTAATTTTATATTAAAAAAAAATAGCAAGAAGACGAAAGGTCTATGCCGGCAACTATTTGCCGGATTAGACCTTTCTTGAGGAAAGTTTCCTATGCTGACGAAATGTCGTCAGGAGAGGTCTAATCCGGCAAAATTGCACCGAGATAGACCTGTGCCAACGAAAGTTCGTCGGGAGAGGTTGTTTTAAATAATAAGTATAAACTTAGTATCTTTAGGTCAGTACATTTTTATTTTAAATTTTCTTTTTAGTAATTCAATAAAATCTTAGCCTTATTTAATTACTTTCATTAGTAATTATGTTTTAATCATTATTTATTTTGTGAATAATTAGTATTAAATATTTTAATTAACTTCATAAATATATTACTCAATAAATAGTAATTGGTTTTTTAATTTTTTTCTTTAATAAAATAATAAAATACTTAAATACTAATTATTCACTAAGTAAATAATAATTAAAACATAACTACTAAATAAAGTAATTAAAAAAGAGAAATTCAGATTATGATATTTCAAGGGTATAGCCGTGCGGCTATACGTTTAAAATATTATGTTAATGGAGCCTTACCAAAACAAATTTATGTCCAGAGTGCTAAATTGAATCAATAAATTTGTGATCATGAAAATACTTTAGTAATTCGCTGACTCACTTGTGAAGTTATTTTATTGCTTGTGTACATATCCACATGACATGTTGAAGTGATTTATCAAAATTTTCTCAAATTATTATAATTCGTGCACAATAGTTATAAAATTCAAATTTTACACAAAAACAAGGAACAATAAGAGAAAAAATCGCAGCCAAACATGGTTCATATGGTAGATCCAAAGATTCCTATGAAGATGAATCCATTTTTCTTAGAAAGGTTAGAATGGTGGTTCATATTTTTTGAAAAATAGTATAGCCGCTCGGCTATACTCCTTTTTTCAAAATTTATTTTAAAAATGGTACTTCCATGCGGCTATACTAGGTTTTTTCCTAATTTTATTTTAAAAATAGTACAGCCACACGGCTATACCAGTTTCTACCTAATTTTTTAAAAACAAGTATTGCCGGACGGCTTCACTTGGTATTTTCTTAATTTTTTTTTAAAATAGTATAGCCGCCCGGCTATACTCGGTTTTTAAAAAAATATTTTGGTGAATCGGACTCGAACTCATCACTACGAACGTCTAGGGCACAGAGCAAGCCCGTTCCAGGTTTTGAGCACTGTTCGAGATGTCGGCCAAGGGGCTAGGCAGGAGGACACCGACATCAGGGAGTTAAGGGGGGCCTAGGAGGCCTGGGCGGATGTAGGCGGCGCTTAGGCGGCCTGGGGGGATCTAGGCGGCGCCTAGGCGGCCTGGGCGGATCTAGGCTTCCTGGGCGGGTCTGGGCGCCAGGGCATGTCCTTCTTTTTCCAAATGAAGACAGACGAAGCTTGCTGGTGCGAAGGAGCAAAGGTGACATGTATATATTGTGTGAGAAGGAGGAAAGGTGACATAAAATAAGGAAAGGCATAAGAAATGAGGGTTTGTTTCGTGTGGAGTGAAAGGAAGAGATAGAAAACTATGTTTCTGTTGTTGATAGAGTGAGAATTGGGAGGCAAATGAAGAGGGAATGAGAGATTTATAATTCCTGGTGGTCTTGGTTGAGAGATTTATAAATTAGTCGTCAACACGCACGCATTGCTCACCAATGCCTTTCTGCTTTATTGATTTCTTTCTAGTACTAGAAGCCTAATGTTACTATATAGCCTAGGATATAATCTGTTAGATTGTGACAAGTGTAATCATCTCATAGGGTGATAGGATCAAAGGCTAGGGTTTAATTTCTGTGTAAATCAGTTAGAGAAGCAGCTCACTTCTCTCTGATATACGAATATACATATGAACAGTAAGAGGATATGAATAGATATCCGGCTTTCTTACAGAGCAACGTTCTCTCTTATTTCATTTGATTTCTGTGCTTTCTCCCTTCCTCCCAAACATCCAAAAACATTGAAAACTATGAATTCTAACATCAATCCTGTACTCTTGTTCCATCTTTTACTATTAGAGGCAAGATGCTCACTCTTGGACATTTACGTATCTGCATTTCCACTTCGGCATGCCTCCTAGTTGTTAATTTGAAGTATATGGTATTGCAGAATAAAAAAGAATCACTGACATTGTGCACTTTCTTTTTTCTTCCTATTTTGCAGTTGAGCTATGATCATCAGGTGCTTCTTGATTACCTTATTTCAAAAGATACCGGAATCAGTTGTGCAGAAGATTTTTAAGGTCTTTTCTCTTTCTACACCTTCTCTTAACTTATGAAATCTAAACCGTGGTGGGCTGCATTTTTCTGGTGCCAACCTCGGTGACTAAACTATAAAACATTAACCCTCTGCTTTTACATGACTTCTTAACTAATTAGCAAAACAAGAATCAATTTGGTTGACCCCAGACAGTTGTTTTTAATTGCAACTCTTTGTATCTTTCATTTGCTTCTTACCGTCCTTAATGCATTCTCTTTTAGGTGCTTGCGTAAAGTGTGTGATTCATGGAGCTTATTTGTGGAATTTCTAGTGGGTGGGCAAGCTACAAATCAATCATTTTGCAAGAAAAGAAAAGTTTCATTGGGTGGCTCGAGTTCCTGGGGAGAGGATTCTCTTGCACCAACCAAAAATCATCTTACATTTCTTGATGATGAACCTGATGAAGAAAATGAAAATGGCTGCAAGCACACCCAAAATGGAGGACAGTATTTCAAAGAAGCCAAAGAGTGCTTACTTTCACTTAAAATTTCTATTGAAGGTCTACACCAAAAGAATCTGTTTCCCTACGATCCTAATGTTCTTCTGAACCGGTACGTCTCTTTGAAATGAGTTTCATTATGCTTCCCAGTAAACTAACGATTGCTCTTACTATTTGATTTTATTTTGAATTTACTACAGTCAACTTCTTTCTTTCACTTTTAGTTTCATTCGTTCCTCGTGATCACGACTTATCCAAACTAAACTGGTTGCTCTTTGCTTGCAGCTTGACAAGATTTCAGGAACTCTGTTTTGAGGAAGAGAAATAAACTTCTAAAAGAATGAACTTACCAGCACAGATTTTTGCAGAGCATCATTTATTCCTTTGGGTTGAAGTGATAAAATGAGATGTTGCCAACCAATGAGGCCAAGTCCCGACGAAAACTCTTTGAGTCAGGCAAGTGGGCCACAGTCAGACAATGCTGGAAAGAGTGCTTTGAGATCCTCATGACTCTTTGAGGCCATATATGGAGATTTTAAAGAAGTGAATGCACTTTGTGGATGAACGTTGTTACATTGAGCAGTGAAGGAATAGAAGAACAAGCTTTGTAGTTAAGGTAATTTAGATTCTATGTATAGAATTTCCAATTTTTTTCCTCAACAAGGATAGGCGAAGAAATCTAATTCGTAGCATAGTTAAATCCCTCACATGAAGTCAAAGTGATAAATGGTTCTGATCACATGTTCATGTTTGTTGTCTAGACCAGTAAAGCTGTTCTCCCACCTCCAGGATATTGCTAAAAAATACTCTCAAACTTGAGCACCTGCTAATGCACTATACATATATTCGATATGAATAAACTATTGTCAAAGAAAATCACCTGATATTGGTGTAAATTAATTCTATCCAAACTATACCAGCTGTCAGAGACAAATAGAAAAGGACTTTACCTGATCTCAAGTCTTCCTAATCTCAATTGTCAAAGAAAACTATACCTGATATTGATGTACCCCAAGTCTTCCTTATTATCTCAAACATGCTTCTCATTTCAAAATATAAATTTCTGGTTTCTATTTCCTTGTTACTTGGCATGATGGCGAATCGGATGAACTCGGTTTAGTATAGCCGGTCGGCTTTAGTCAGTATTTTATAAATTTGTTGTAAAATAGTATAGCCGCTCGGCTATACTCGGGTTTTTCAAAAATATTCTGGCGAATCGGAGTCGAACTCATCACTACGAACGTCTAGGGCACAGAGCAAGCCCGTTCCAGGTTTTGAGCAGTGTTCTAGATATCGGCCTAGGCCCTAGGCGGGAGGACACCGACACCAGGGAGTTAGGGGGGGTAGGCGGCCTAGGCGGCCTGGGCGGATCTAGGCGGCTCCTAGGCGGCCTGGGAGGATCTAGGCGGCTCCTCGGCGGCCTGGGAGGATCTAGGCGGCCTGGGCTGTAGTTAATGAAGAGATGAAGCTTGAATTCGCAGTCCAATCTTCAAAATTCAAATACTCGGTCTTGAGCCTCTCTCTCAACTCAAGCTTGGATTTTTTTCCTTTGGTTTCGGCTGCTGCGTTGATTCGATTTTTTTTTGGGTGCTTTTCTGTTATTGAAGTTGGCAACGTCAGATGAACATCCAAGGCAGTTTCTTAGTATGCCAGAAGAAGCCCAGCAGATGGTTCTTTAACCTGAGGCACACCTTGCAGTTTGGCATTGGATTACACCATGTCGGTCTGAATGACAAAGATAGATCTATGGTTGAGGAGCTTTTTGCAAACAACAAGATTCAGGCATTTCTGTTTTACCTCAGTAAGCATGAGTCTTTCCCGAAAAACACATTAGGAAAAGAGAATATAAAAAGATAATTTTCTTACTCCATATACTGATTAGGCATATGTATTAAATTATAGGTATTGGTTTGTACCAGTACATTGGCATGGGGTGTAAACCTTCCAGGTCATCATCTGTTCATTATTAAGGTAAGGTAAAATTTGTGCGGTATCTTTTTCATTTGGTTCTTATATTTACAAAGGTTTCTAGCAGGAGTATATTGCAGCAGCTGTTCTTCAGGACAAATTTATGTAAGTGTTGATTCTCTTGCAGGGAACAGAATATTATGATGGGGAAAACAAAGAGATGTGTTGATTTTACAATATCAATCACAGATATATTGCAAATGATGGTTTTGGTCACACATGACTACATAGAATAAAAAATGGAAAGAAAGAAATATGTGAATCAGATTACATGTTTTCATCCCTTTATAATCAACAGTTGCTCAGATTCTACAAGAAAGATGGGAGTAGATGTCCATCACAATCCGCCCGCCTAAAAATCAATAAACACAAATCATATTAGTTTCTGAATATTTGCCTAAAATATTAATACTAGGAATCAGGTTGTTTGGGGTTTTGAATATCAGAAATAAAAGACCAGTGCTAGTGCGAATTGGACATTCTGCCTTGTTTATATTACTACATTCTACAGCTAGCATATCAGTTGATTAGTTAGAGATGTTAATCGGGGATGCTGGGCACCCTCGAATGTTGTTAGTCCATGCTTCTTTCCTGTATTGTTTATCTTGTTTTGTTTTTTTTTCCTTTGTCCTCCAAGAGAAGCTCTTCTTTTGTCTTATTTACGTAGATTTATCTGGCCTGAGGAAGGATTGGATGTGAGTTAACCAGACATTCAGAGACCCCTAAAGCATGAGAAATTATGACTTACTCATTAAAGTGTTGTTAGAAGGGCCACTTTGGAATTTAGCCATATATATTTTTGTCTGTAAGGACAATGTGCAGCACTTGCACTTAAATGGTACACTAATTGTTTCTGAAAATGGTGAAGCTTTGTTTTATCTAATTATTTATTTTTAACAATTACGCTTTCATTCGGATGATTTGTTCCTTAAGAAAGTAGAGTTTTCACCTCTTAGCCTCTTCTCATATCTTTTGGCTTCTTTTCAGGGTTTATGGTTTGATGGAGATTCTTCCCTTATGGATGATGCCATGCATGAATGTTGAACTGTTGCTAACTCGCTAAGCAAAAGAGGAATATTCAGCGTACAGCTACTATTCCCCAAGGCAACTTTGCAGACCATGATTGGAAATTTTCCTGCTTAAAAAATGTATCTGGTACAGACTTCTAAGATAGTGGAAACATGGCTGACTAACCCACAGGTCAAGATTTAACATGACTGGACAACTTTTTGAGTGGGCTGGGTATATTGAAATACAAGTCAGTTATTTGCTTTCAGGCGTGTTAACTAATTTCAGTAGCTTTGCATCTAGAATATTTTGTTCTTCTAGGATCTGCAGCCTTTTCCACGCATCGAAGTGAAATTAAAACTTCAGCGAAAAGTCTTGCTCTATACATGGAGGTATTGGCCATCAGCCTGTAACTACATATTACAGAATGAAGGCCTTGTGGTCTTGTTTGATTGCAAAACGTCATTACTACTGAAGTAATTTTTCTTGAGCTACTTATTGGAAAAGGATTTTGTTTTGTTTTCTTAATTTTCTTCACTTATTCTACAGATGGTTTTCCATTAGCAAGCAATCCAGTTGGGAATATCTCAAGTGGCCAAGTACTTCAGCATGAAAGATTTGCTCGCTTTGTTGATAATGAGTGTAAGTATGAAGAATATGGAGGTAAATCAGATAAAATCACAGGCAAAGATGAGCGCAGGGAATCAAATCGGTTTTCGCTTATTAATACCCAGCGCTATGAGCTTTCTCACTTAGGGAAGGCAGATGAAGTTTGCAGTAAGAGGAAGAATATAGTAGATCACTCTTATGGAAGCTTTAAAGGACTTACAGAAGATGGACGTGATTCTAATGAAAAAATTCAAGACAATGCCCTGAAATCCGGCTTATCTCAATTATAAATCTCACTTATCCATTTAATCCTGCTGCAATGTTTCTTAGTATAGCCGCTCGGCTTTAGTCAGTATTTTCTAAATTGTTTGTGAAATAGTATAGCCGCTCGGCTATACTCGGGTTTTTCAAAAATATTCTGGCGAATCGGAACTCGAACTCATCACTACGAACGTCTAGGGCACAGAGCAAGCCCGTTCCAGGTTTTGAGCAGTGTTCGAGATATCGGCCTAGGCCCTGCGAGGGAGGACACCGACACCAGGGAGTTAGGGGGGGCCTAGGCGGCTCCTAGGCGGCCTGGGCGGATCTAGGCGGATCTAGGCGGCTCCTAGGCGGCCTGGGAGGATCTAGGCGGCTCCTAGGCGGCCTGGGGGGATAGGGCGGTATTCAATGAAGAGAGATGAAGCTTGAATTCGCAGTCCAATCTTCAAAATTCAAATACTCGGTCTTGAGCCTCTCTCTCAACTCAAGCTTGGATTTTTTTCCTATGGTTTCGGCTGCTGCGTTGATTCAATTTTTTTTTGGGGTGCTTTTCTGTTATTGAAGTTGGCAACGTCAGATGAACATCCAAGGCAGTTTCTTTGTATGCCAGAAGAAGCCCAGCAGATGGTTGTTGGAATTTTAAAAGGTTTTAAAAATTTAACCATTTTATTTATTTAATTATTTTGGCTGTTTTATTTTATTTATTGTGGGGGTTATAAATATTTAATATTCAGGTTTTATTTCTGGTTGGTGAATGCCTTAATTTTTTGGTTGGTGAACTTTTATGGTTAGTGAAGGTTACATGGTTTTGGATGCCTATAAAAGGCCACTCCTCCTTCACACAAGATACACACAAAAAACACAATACACTGTTAGAATATCACATACCACAATCACCACCACAAACTAATTCTTTCCTTTTCTACTTTTACATATATTCTTTACTTTATATTATTATTATTTTGGGCAATGGTTCTGTGACTTGGATACCTATATCTGTCTATGAACGTGCTCATAGCGGATCTTGAGTTTGTGTACAAGGGGTCGTATTTTGGAGTCTTGTAGACCGTCAGTACCTGCACGTAGGGAGGCTACAAAGGCTTTAGGACAGCGTCTTTGACGTGCTTCACCGTACCAAACTCACCTTCTTACCTATTATTTTTTTCCTTTTATTTCCCTATTATTTTGTTTTCTTCAATTTCATTATACCTTCAAAGCTTTTCAATTTGTTTATATGTTATTTATAATATAAATATTTTGTATTTGGCTTTACGGAAAGAGGGAAACTATTATTTTTTACAACATTCTAAAGCCTTTGTAAGTTAAAGTTGTTTTCTTCCCGTATTGCTAGCTTTAATATCTTTTAACTCTTTGACGGAAGCTTTTGCATTCGTATTGGATTTTCAAAATGAAAATTACGATTTATTTTGGGTAGATTCAGTTTGAAGCTTTCATGTTGTCTATACAATTTCAACTGCTTTAAATATTGTTGGTACTTTTATATGTTTATAATTTGTCGCTAACGTTTGGGAAATTACTGCTAGTGTTTGAAAATAAAAACCTACAGACTAATTTATTTGGTATTATTATTATAGTTCAAAGTATTATTATTTTATGTGGTGTGTCTGTTTTTAAAATACATTTCAGAATCTTAATAATGTTAATAGCATTCAAAAGCTAATTAATGACCATTGAAATTTCAAAGCACGTATATATATTTGATTTTATTGTGTTGAGCCTTTTTAACATTTGCCTTCATTCATTTTGGTTGCCATCAATCTTCCTTTATATAATGGTCCTTTATAATCGTTTTTTTTTAAATCGTTTTATTGTTCTCAATTGCCAAAAAGGTCTGCTTTACTTTTGGAAATCCTTCATATCAACGTGAGAAGCAATTATAATATATTCTTGGCCGTAAAGTTTATTGTTTGCAATTATTTTTTTTAATGTTGGGTTTCTATACATTATCTTTATAGTTTTTTGTGTCAGTTTTAGTTCTGACCTATCTGTGTTTTCAATTTTATATTGATTCTTTATTTTCATTTATAGATATCAATTTTTGCGAAACGTGCAGAGAGTTTATGTGATATTATTGCAACTTTTATTGAGCTTAATTATTCTTTATTTTGCTGGCTGTCATTGCTTTAAATTTGGGAGAAAAACGAAGCATTTTTTTTTATAGTATAAATGCCATTAGCTAGTTGGTTGATACATCAATGTTGAGAATTAGAATTTTTACATTTATGGAGAAATTAATTTTGACTATTCTATTTTGTTGAGAATATAATGTCCTATATTGAAATCCATTGTTGAGATCCATTGTTGGTACAATTTATTTTGGACGTTAGTTTTTGAGATCCATTGTTGTCATTAACTTTAATTAGAAGCTTTGCAACGGCCATTTCATTGACATAACTGTTTTGTACCTTGGTATTACTTTCAATCATTATTTTGGTTGCCGTTAATTTCTTTTTATGACTTCATTTCAATTGGTCTTTCAAATAAGGCAATTTCTTATTGTGATGGTTATTTTTAATTGCTGAAGGTTTTATTACAAAATCTTTTTGCTGAAGCAATCAAAAGTATTCATTAATATTTTTTTCAAACCGTGTAATCAAATTACATAAAACTATTAGTATCAAACCGTGTTATTAATATATATAATATCAGTTTTATTTTATGTATTTAGTGGTTTTACTATTATATTTATTATGCTTATTAAGATGACATTGAATTGGCATTAGAGTACCTGCCGTTAGATTAGCTTTATGTGATATCAAACTTGAAATTGTAAGCATGCAGTTATTATTTTATTTTGATTATTGATTCGTTTTGTTTGTAATGGAAAATATAATTTGAATTTAGTGATTTTGGACGTTAACTCCTTTTTGGTTACAAAGTTAGTTAATTGCTACTAACTTCTTTTGGAAGCTTTTGCATTGCACATTCAATTTATGCAGCTTTAGTTTCAAAACTTTAATGTCAATTTCATGACATTTAGAGCTTTTATTTTGGCAGTAAAATTGTTGATATTGTTAGGTGATTATTGCCTTTAATGTTCTGAACATTTATGCAATTTAATTACATCTTTGTTTTAATGCCTTGGATTCTTTTTAAAGTTGCCAACGCCTATATATTCGATTGTGCAATCCTTCGTATTAGTTACTTGAGTTAATCTTGATACAAATATATTGAGTGAATTAATATTCTTTTGATTGTGAAGTGTTGACAGCTGACACTTTGAGTTAATTGTCATGAAGTATACATTGTGAAATCCTCCTCAGAAAACTGAAATGAAATAATAAATTATATCACTGTAAGTGGTATTAATTTTGAGTTTTGGTGTATGACTTTCAAACCCTAAATTTTTTGAGGCATTTTTTTCTTTTGAGGCTTTCGATGGTTTCACTGTTATGTTTACAATGACTATCAAGATAACTATGAGTACATATCTTATAATTTTAAAATTAAATAAATTTTGGTACAGTCTTCATATATTTTGAGAATTCCCTAATTTGTGGGGGGTTGAGTTTTTCCTTAACTATGTGGGTATTTCAAACACAAAATTTAATCTCAATACTTATTTTATGTTGAATGTAATTTTCCAAATTTTGAGTGGTTTTGATTACCTCTTTAAAACTGAATTTATTTTGTACATTTATTATATAAGTTTTCATATCTCCTTTATTCAGATTTATTCTATTTTAATTAGCGCTCAAATGCTTACGTTATTTGCGTTTTGATAATTATTAATATTTTATTTTAAAACGTGTGGACCAATTTGTGGAAGTTGAATTTTCTTAAATGGGAACTTTAATACTGTAATTTCATTTGTTACTAACATTAAGCAATTTTGCTGAAAAATATTAGATTCATTTATGTTGGCTTTTCCTTCTCTCTTTCCCATAATTTTTTGTGTGTTTTTAATTTCTTTATGCTCTCATGGGAAAGATTCATTTAGTGACATAATACTTTTTATATTTTATTGGCAAACATACTATGTCTATATGAAATTTGTTTCATTATGCAAGTTTATTATGAGACTAATTTATCTTCAATTTGATACGAAAATATTTGCAACTAATGATGATTTTGGCATAAAATTTTGGTAGAGACTTCTTATTGTCTTATAGATTCATATTGAGAATCGACAAGATACAATTTCAACTTGGATATGTGATCATGATTTCAGCCATTTGGAGTGCACAAAAGGGAGTAAGGGTATCCTGAAATACTCAGTGCTTATAAATAAATTTATTTAATGAATTAATTGTTATATTGTTGTTCATAAGTGGTAGCAGGTGTACTCAAAGTTTCATGGACTTGAGAGGTACTCTTGATCAAAAGATTTAATGTATGATGTATTTCCGTTATACTTAACTGTATACCAATGCGTATTTAATTTCCAATTATACTGAGGTGAAATCTACTAATTATTTGTGTGCAAGATTGTGTAGGAAATATTTTAATAACATGCAGGTTTAAAGCGCGCAAAACTGGAGAACAAAGACATGACCTGCATTATATATGCCTTGTGAAGGCTAGTCTTAATATGCATGCCTCGTGGAGGAGGCTATTAATGCAAAATGTCGAGGGGGATGTGCTTAAGCCCATAAGGGAGTCACCTAGGGAGGTAACCCAACTTCTGTGATTGGAGATCCCATGAAGGAAGTTCAATGTGGTAGAAACAATCCATACTGCGTGACTCATATAGCACTCATAAAACTGAGGAGATATCCTTGAGATATTCTTCTGCTCATCCCTAAGGCAAAAGTGCTATTTTATGTGACGTTAGGAAGGGATTTATCCCTGAATGAGTTTCGAGGCGGGCAAACTCCCGCAGGGTACGGGTCACATGTACTCTTGGAGAACTCACCTAAGTGAGAGACGTCGTGAGGCCGCGACTATGAGAATTGGGCTATTCTCTAGTAACTCTCATGAGAATCAAGATTAGCGCATGGCCATAAATAGCGCTACCCCGCATCCAAGTCTCAACTAATACTATGTGTGGGATATGTTGAAGTTTGGT